TCTGTCTCTCTATCTATGTATCTATCACCTATCCATCCTGGCCAGGCTCTGGAGCTGAAGTCATCAAAGGACTTGTGAAACGGTGGGGGGAACTGAGGCACGTCCGCAGGGAACTTGGGGGCCCGGCCAGGTGAAAGTCAGCAGTTCTGCCTTCCGCAGAGCAGCTGAAATCAAGTCATGTCCTTAAAATGGGCTTGTCATTTATCACGGTGTGTCAAACTCCGATCCAAACCGCATCTAACTCGCTTCATGCAATCTGAAGATTTCTCTCGAGGGGTGTGTGTGTGTGTGTGTGTGTGTGTGTGTGTGGCAAGAGGCAGGGGCAGGAAAGCTACACACCCACTGTGATGGAGGAGGTGGTAGAGGAGGAAGAGGAGGAGAAAGAGGAGGAGGAGGAGGAGAGTGAAAGGAGGAAGAGGAGGCAGATGGTGTCACATAAACGTCTATAACAAGAACCAAAGCTCAGCTACCACCAGTTTTTCCTCCAAAGAGTAACTCCTTCCTCCTCCTCCTCCCTCTGCAGCCCTTTAGGGGTTGGTCGAGGCCGAGGCCCCTCATTTTGCCATTCAATACAAACAGCGAGTTTGCCCTTATTGAGTCCTCCGCTTACAAGTGCAACTGGAACCATGATTTTCCCGGCTAAGCGACGCCGGGTCTTATATGAGGCGTGTCCGTTTCTCCCTCCAGCTTCCAGAAAGACAGAAAGGTTCCCGGGCTCTCAGTTCAACTCCTAAGGGTGTGTATGTTTATAACAATGTGTGAAGATCCCCACAAGATGTTCTTCCCATTTAACAAAGGCGGTGGTCTTCTCCATTCTCCACCTACACTGAGAGGCCTGGTCTTCAGGTTCTAGACCAGGACCCCATTCAAGAAGTAGCTGAATCTGTGGAGGAGTTGATCCCATCTCGCTCCATCTGCCTAGAACAGGTTCGCCTCCTTCCGGGGAATGGCTGGTTTCAATGGGGCTCTTACTCCGTCAAAGGAAACACGAGTTGGCGGGTGTGGAAGGGGTGAGAAGCACAGCTCGTTTCCTAAGGAACATTGTTTGGTGCTCGTGGTTGAGCGTAAAGACGGAGGAGTGGAGGAGGAGGAGGAGGTCAGGAGGCCTCATCGAAGAAGCTTCTGGGGTGAGGATTCTCAGCTGTGCCATTTCTGGGAGTTGATCAAGAGTCGGTCCTTAGACAGAAAAGGGAGTTGAAAGCCCACCCAACCAAGGGAGGCTCGGAGACGGTTCTCCTGAAACAACGAAGCTCTGGAGAAGGTGGCAGAGGTGGAACTCGACAGAAGGCGAGTTCGGATGAAGAGATCTCAACGCTGGTCTGTAGGCGTGAGGGTTGTGCATTGTGGTAACTAGTTCGAGCAACTAGGGTTGTAGTAAGGGGTTGTCCAAGGAAGAGTACACTATAATTTACAATATTCACATTCTAGAATATGAAATTAGGATGTTCAATGAGAAGAAGAATAGGGACACCGGGGGAAGACATGAAAATTAAGGAGAACCCTGTTGGGTTTCTACAGCAAGGTTAGAATCAGATTGTGGTTGAGGAACGTGGTTATTCTGGACCTGGAGTATTTACAACATGTTGGGGGGAAGGCCAGCTGGCCAAGGGCTGGAAACCTGGTTGACCTTGATGGTGAGGGCAACGTTCCCCGAGGTCCCTCCTCTGTCCTACAGCCATCTCGAGATGTTTGGCTTTGTGGACGTCCATATCTGACCCACTTCTCTCTCTCTCCTCAGGTCAGCTTCTCCTGCACGAAGCCACGCTTGGATTTTAATAGCCATGTTTCGACTTGCCATGGAGGTCTCCTCTTGTGCGTCGTTGGGCCGAGACCTCCGGCACCCATTTCCACAGAGACCCGCCCGCTGGTATGGATTCCCTCACCATCTTTTGTGGAGCTTTAGATACGGACCCCAAGTCAGGAGGCTTGGACTCCCAGCCAGCCTTGACTACTGGGAACTCTCCAACGGGCAGTGGCCCAACGTGTCCCGCCTCAAAAGGTTGCACCATGTGGCGGACCTCTGGTGGGGAAGCTGGCGGACGCCCTCGCTCGGCCACGTGAAAGCCAACCCCACGTTGACGGGCAAGAGAACCGTGTCGCAGGCTTACTTGAAGCGGAGGAAAAGGTACCTCCGAGCCAACAGCAGGCCAACGATGGAGACCGAGGTCATCGTCTGGGGGTCCACCAGCCCTTTGGAAGCCCTGGAGACCAGCACCATCCCTGGGATTTACAATGGTCCTGCCACCTCAGTTTTGGAACGGGTGACCAGCAGCACGACCACCACGACCACTATGTCCACCACCACCACGGCGGCTTCTACGACCGCACAGTCCAAAGGACTCGGCCCAGGGCTTGGGGCCCCTAAGAACCATCCCGTCAGCACGCTGCTTCCCCCTTCGACCTCCAGAGGTAGCAGGAAAAAAGCAGAAGGCCCACCCCCAGCACCCCCTAAAATACCAGGAGATACTTCAGGTAGGTGTCCTTCTCTCCTTGGGGCCTTCATGGACGTTCTGTTTTCTATGGAGGAGCTAGGAGGTCCATTGGTAGGCAGGAATGGCACGGTTGGGGGTCTCCATCCCACCTCCGGGGGTGCCTCAGAAGCGGAGATCTCACCAGAGGTCAACTTCTAAGAGGCCTTCTGCTCCCACCTTAACGTCCACCTCAAGAGGCTTGGGCCACACACCTCTTCTGGTGTGACATCCCTGGATCGTCTCCTCTGGGACCTCCAGAAAGTTGGAAGGCAAAGTCCCTGATCTTCTCAGACCGTTGGCCATCCCGTCGGTAGCCTGGTTCTTTCCAGCCACTGATTTGATCTGACTTTTTAAGTTTCTGAAGAGACGCTTTTGTGAGTCCATCCGTAGTACCTTCTCCAAGCAGGGACCTCTGTCCAGGGATGGCAACTTCGCAGTTGGTTTTGGTTTTCAGTGTCGTTGGTGTGTCAGTTTTGCTTTCTTTCTCTGGCTTCTTTCTGGATAGGGGTTTTTTTGTGGTGAATTTGTCCATTCCAATATTTTCTCCTTTTGATAAATCTGTCAATTTCACTTTTCTTTCTGTTGCTGGTTCTTTTTTGGCAGGGGGGGGGAGGCGATTTGGTGACTCCGTCAATTTCACTTTCTTTCTGTGGTTTGCTGGTTGTTGGTTTGTTTTTTGTTGGCTGGTTTGTTTTTGTGACTCTGTCAATTTCAATTTCTCGCAGTGTCTTGTTTCCAAACAACTTTGTTCCTTCGAATCAGTAGAGTTTCTCTGGGCTCCTTTGAGGTTCAAACAGAGAACTCCAGAAGTTGTGATTCCTCCTTCCCTTTCTCTCCTCCCTTCCTTTCCTCCCTTCTTTTCCTTCCTCCTTCCCTTTCTCTCCTTCCTTCCTTCCTTCCTTCCTACCTACCTAGAATGATTGTAAAATGGACTTGGCTATTGCAAGAAGTCCTCAACTTAGAACTATCCGCTTAGTGACTGTGGTCTTTGCTTTATAACTGCTGCATTCGCCTAATGACCCCTCCAAAACAAGTGCGGGTGTAGTCCCAGGGAGACTCACTCAATGACCACAATTCCTGGCTCCCTTACAGTCACAAGCCAAGGACTCGCTGCATTTGCGTCGTTCCCAGCTCCCCTTTGGAGGAAAACTTGGCGAACGTTGGGTGCCTTGCAATGGGCACCAAGCCTCTGGGAGCCCGGTTGCCCCTGGCAACACACACGGATGCCCGTGGGGAGGGCAGCTGCTCCCACCCACACGGCAGCGAAAAGGCCTCTCGACCGTTTGGGACCCACGGGGGAAGACGGCCTTTTCCTGCAGCTCCAAGGTGAGAGGACAGGAGCCCATCGAGGCTCTCCTTGAGTACAGCCGAATTGGAGGCGACCCTGGAGGTCTTCTAGTCCAGCCCCCTGCTCAATCAGGAGACCCTCGACCCTGCTGGACAAAGGGCTGTCCGGTCTCTTCTCGAAAGCCTCCAGTCACGGAGCAGCCACCCCACACCTCCGGGGCCGGCCTGGCATCTTCTCTCCTCGGCCAGGGCCAAATTCGGGGCTAATCGGCACCTTCGCCTGGAGTCCTGCTTGGAGCCCCCGTTAACTCAGCCGCTCAATAATAATGAGGTCAGACAGATCCTGGGCCCAGCGGAGGCGGCTGCGGCCAGCCACATCTGCCTGAACAGCTGTTGAGTGACCGCTCTTAATTGCTGGGGTCCAGCTTGGCCTTCAGCAAAGGCCTCTCCCCCCCCCCCCCCCCCCCCGTGACATTGGAGGCTGTTCTCTCCTGCAGGCTCTGCTGGAGGAGGAGGTTTAAGGGACCCTAGCACTCTCCTCCCTCCCTCCCTCCGTCCCTCTCTTCTCCTTTTCCTCTCCCCTTCTCCCCTCCTTTCCTTCCTCCCTCCCTCCCTCCCTCCCTCCCTAGGAGACACAAAAGGGTGGGATCTGATAGCTTGGAGGCCATTCCAGCCATGTTCTCAATGTTGTTTGTGAAGCTTAAATGCGCCTTCACAACTTTCCCAGCATGGCCTTCATCTGTTCAAGCACAGTAGGCCTGTTGTTAGGATCTGTCCATCCATCCGTCCATCCATCCATCCGTCCATCCATCCATCCATCCAACCCTTTTCAGAAAGGGTGGATCTTCCGTCTCCGGAGACCTTCCAGAAGGTTAGGAACACCATAGAAGGTCAGACTTGATGATCTCCCCTTCCCGCTTTACAGCCCCACGGTTTGGTAGCTTCTCTTGACGTTGCCCAAGATCCCCGTTGCTCCTTGGGCAGCTGCTTCTTCCAGCGGGTTGGGGCCACCAAGGAGAAGGCCCCCGGGCCTCCTAAGAAGGGCCTCCAGGGCTGCGTCTCTGAAGGTCGCGGAAGCGCTCTCCTCCCCACCAACCTCCGAGAAGACTTCCGCCCACAGCATTGCCTCGCTCACCTCTGCTAGCTCCTTCCACTTGTGTGGTGCGGGTGTGTTTGCACGCTTGTCCACCTACCTGGGGAATCCATTAGGGGAGAAGTAATTAACCATGTATTCTGCTGAGCGAGCAGAAGGTTTTCTGTCATGTTACTCCTCTGCTCGGAGTTTCTCGCGTTGGGTTTTCTATCTCCAAAGCGGTGGGGAAGGGAAGAATTGTTCAACAGGAACCGCAGGACAGAAATATTCTTATTAATAAAAGCAGCGAGGAGCCATCTCCAGCTCCTCTTTGAAGGTAGGCTGGACAACCTTGCTTGAGGCTGCCTGCGTTCTCCGGATGGGCTTATTGGAGCCGGCAGAAGTCCTGCATTTCTGCCAACTGCCATAACCGCTCCTCAACACCGGCTGAGATCCGGGAGCAAAGAAGAGACCTAACAGCAAGGTCCACGGAGGAGAGTCTTCTTCTGATCTGCCCATGGGAAGGAGAAGCTGGAGAGAAGCTCAGCCCAACCAGGAAGCAATTCGTTGGCCCCTCATCAATCCGGTGGACGGGCCGGACCAAGATGGAGTTCCACCGGAATGATGAAGAGAAGGCTTCTCATCAGCAGAAGACCAGAAGAAGAGGAGGAGGAGGCTTCCCATCATTCGGGTGACCCGAGAACCATGAAGGATCGTTCTGATCTTCTGCTGATGAGAAGCCCGGATGATGTTGTATTTGGAAGGAGTCATGATGGGAGATTTCTATTCTATTCTGTTCTGTTCTATTCTACTCTATATTCTTATTCTTATTCTATTCTATTCTATTCTAATTCTAATTCTAATTCTATTCTTATTCTACTCTTATTCTATCCCATCCCATCCCATCCTATTCTCCTATTTCAAGTCCAATTTCCCTCAAGAATGCAGCCTTACTCTTCTCAAGCAGATACAGGCTCCAAATACCACGCTAACCATCCCAGTTAGAGCATTTTAATGTCTCAGAGGGCAGAATTCAGGAAATGGCCTAATAGGAGCCAGCGAAGCATTGCGTGGCCTTCTCTGGATCAGTCCAGCTTTTACACGGAGTCTCTCGGTGTAACGACAGCCATTCTTTTTCGACGTATCCTCTCCAATCCGACTGTCCCCCCCATCCCATAAAATCCCTCCCGTGTTTGTTTGTAGAGCTGGATCCCATTCGATCATGTTGCGGATCCGGGGAGGCCATCTTGGTTAAGCCAGGATCTAATTCCCCCTCAACGCGGGCATAATTTTCTTTAATGATGCCATCAGTGTTTGGGTTTGGAGCGCGCCTTCCTCATTTATCTCTTGCCGGTCAGCGACTGTAATAAAACTTGATTGATTGAGCCGGATTGTTGGCTGAATACGAAATCCTGACTCTCCACTAGCCAGGACGTCTTCCGCAGCAGCTGCTGTCAGGGCGCAAGATCCCTCCTCTTTCACCAGTTCCCTTCGCTTTCCTTCCTTCCTTTTTCGTGGTGGGCTCATCCTTCTGCACTTTGACGTGCTGGAGATCGGGGCAGGGAGGCTGGCTTGGCGTCCGCCCTTCGCGCCACCTGAGCGGGGGGAGCAGGTGGCCCGGAGAGGGGAAGCGCACGGGGGACTCACACCCACAGGTCCTTGGCTTGCCTTCAGCGGGGTGGTGGATCCGCTCCCCGTCTCCTTCTCCCTTTGTTCAGAAGGACAGGGGTGGGAGGGACCTCGGAGGTCTTCTAGTCCCACCCCTCGCTCAGACAGGAGACCCCAGACCCTTCCGGGCCAAGGACTCCCCCATCTCCGCTCGAGAGCCTCCCGGGGTGGGACAACCCACAACTTCTGGAGATAATCCCTTCCGCTGATCATTTTTTTTTTTTCATTGTCAGGAACTGTCTCCTTAGCTCAACACCTGGCTTGCATTTATGACGGTCGCGTCCCCGGGGTGTGTGTGTGTGTGTGTGTCATGCGATCTCCTTTTGCGACCTTCCAGCAAGTCGAATCAAGTGGGTGGAGCCACTTTATAAGCCTGCCCCTCACTTAACGTCGGTGGCCAGAATGTCCCTAAAACGGAGGCCAAATTCACTCGACGGTTGTCTGGGGCCGCGGTGGACATTGTGGTCGTAATTTCAAGGGCTGCCTGCGTTTGAAGGGCCTCCCTCTGGCCTTCTTTGCTGGGCTATTCATCCACGTTGACCAGCAAATGGAAAATAAAAAAAACCCATTTATTCTCCTTCTCTTTGTGATTTACACACCCGGCGTGTGGGTGAGTCAAGGCCGGCCCTGCGGTGCCTCTGCTCCTGCCTCCTTTTGTGTGATTTCCACCCCCCCTGCAAAGGCCACATCGCCCCCACACCCCCCATTAGCCCGGCTGACCCACCGCGAAGCCTTTCCCACCTAATGGCTTTCGCTGTTATTCACCCGCCAACACAGGAGGATTTCTGGGGTCTGAACCTGCGAGAAATCAGCTATTTCTGTCGGGCGCAGCCGTCCAAGCCCAGAATTCTTATTTTATTTTAAAACAAAGGCCTCTTTTCCAAGCAAACTAACCAGGTTGACCCTGGATGTTTACAAGCCATGAACCAAGACAGGAAGTGGTTTCGTTCAAAATTTGCATCCTGGTGGGCCTA